AGTAGAAAAGTAATAACTTTCCACACCCGCTGGTTTTTTCGTAACCTTTTAACATTTTGCAGACCTTAAGAAGAAAAGAAAGTACGCCTCAAAGCTTGGAAAATAGGTTTGGAGTTTTCCGGCCTTCCACAATTAAATTTTATTCAAAGTATCTATAAGTATTTGATTCTACGCAAGAGCCTTACGAAAAATAGCACTGAAGATGACATTATAATGCCTAAACTCGGTTTGTCTGTAAACCGAATTTGTCAAGGCAAGCCTAATCATTACCCGGTCTCACATGCCTACTTAACTGTCATGAAGTTCGGGTAATGCCTCTCAATTAGTATAACACACACATTATATTCACGTATCGAATGGCTTCCGTTAGTGTTATCCCGAATCACGGGAATAGTAAGCTGAGAGGTTGCCACTTGTCTCAATCGGACTACCTGTTTTTCATAGAAACCTCTGGTCGCAACAAGGCCATTCGAGTATCATGCTTAACCAAATATTTTTGTAGCATTACCCATGCCTCTTAGGATCAGACCAGTTAATAAATGAATTGGAAAAGGACCACATCTTCTTCCAGCTCTTATGTATCAGCCTTATAAATCGCTCAGTTTGAAGTGTGCCTAAGTATATGGTATACTGATCCATAACTCAACTCGAAATCGAAATAAATTTAAGACGAAACCTTTCCGATGCCTACAAGTAAAGACATTTGATGTCATGAAAACGAGAATAGCCTATACGTCTATTACGTCATTACATAGGTGTGTTTACTTACCATATGCGTGCAGATTATTCAGGCTATAAACACCACCTTTCTATATATCGAGGGCATATATTCAATACGCTTTACCCGAAATTTCGACAAAAATTAATTTCTGATATTGAATTCCACCTTAGATGTAATTGTCATTCAAAACATTAATGTCATCTTTATGTATCACTTCTTGGGGCCGTTTTTGTTTAAGTAATCAGTAACTTTAAAGCTCACTTTATATTTAAACATAGCTTTATTTTTAATTCAACCTTTAAATATGAAGTGAGCTTTAAAGTTACAGGTTACTTGAGCAAACGACCCTTAGTACATTTATTTTGTTTTAAATTAAGAAAAAATATCAGTGTTGGCAGTTAAGTTACAGAATGGCTCGAATACAAGAAAACACTTTTTATTAAAATTGCAGAAAAAAATATGTATTTAAGGCAACATATCTATTTTTTTGTTGTTGTTCAAATTTAAATACATACATAGGTTACTTTAGTTCTCATGGCCTCATTTGTATTTATATTGAGTTCTTTAAGAAAAGCATTGTACCTATTCAGGTGCAGCGGACTGTACTTTGTTACAAAAACGTTCTCAAGTTATTTATTGCTTGAGTAATCGTATTATAATTTTTATTTCCAATTTATTGCCTACAAATACCACTTGAAAAAGCAATATTTAGCGGTACATAATTGCTTCGGGCAAATAATGCATTAGACAAACACAATCGCTTAGAGTTTACACATAAATACTCGTACTATGTATTTAGCCACTTACATACACACACATACACATGTATGCATATGCATAAATCACAGTTTAATGTTTATTTTTCTCACTGCTTTAATAATAAAAATCCATTTTTGTGCTTCCTATCAATGCGTCTGAGGCAAAATAAACAACAATTGTCTGCTACTTGGTTGGCTCAGCTGATAATGATACCGCATATACTTATGTATGTATGTATATATGCATGTAAATAAAACGGTGAAGATAACGAGAACGCAGTAGCGTTACTTACTTAAACAAAGATAAGTCTGTACAAACAATTTCTGGTAAATATTTTAGCACCAACATAAAAATGCACCAAGTGGGTAATCAATCATTATCGCCAAACTCAAAATCTAACTACGAACAAACAATTCTGTCTAAATATTATACAAACTTGCATACGTACATATGCTTTTGTTTTATATTTTCAGTACAGTAACATAATCGATTGGTAAATATTTACACTTCGACTTAGGATAAGCAGTTAAGAAAAGTTAAATTGTGTTCGTAAGCACTGTTACAATAAGGAGTAACTAGGGGATGGGAAATGTGGCATAAATATGAGCAAAAAAATACGCACAAATGTACATATGTATGTATGTATGTCCGTACCAGAAAAAGTAAAGTAAGTAAGTAAAGATTTTAAAGTATTTTTGCAAGGCAATTTCGATTTTTTTTTTTTTTTTGAAGAACGTAGAAATAATATCAGATCTTTAAGAATGTTAGTTATATCGATGCTTTTGTTCATTCAAATTCATTGACCCCAAGTACTTACCTACAACTTATCTACAAGACCTCAGTTCTTATCATCCTAACGTACCACCCTAATGTCAGTAAATTAAAGATCACCGATCATTAAGCTTTTGCTGAGGAAGTACAGTGAAACCCGCTTAAGTACTCCCCCCCCCTCCCAAAATTTTTGGGCACCGTGAATAATGTAATGTAATCTGAAAAAAATCCCTCTCTTAAGTACCTCCCTGCTCATTTACCCAACCCGCCTAAGTGCCTACATTTTTCGAATCCCATTTACCATTTTACTTATAATTTTCCCCTTTTAAGTGCTCTCGCAACACGTTCGGCAAAAAAAAGAAGATGTAAATTCAGCGGTAATTTTGAACCACTTGAAATTTGCACATTGTCACATTAAAATTCAATGGCAAATAAACACTTCTGAGAGAAGTTTAAAATGTTTATGAAAATTTTATGAATTTTTTTCAGTGTTCTAAAAAATTTTAGGTTAGGGTTAAGGGCTGTTAGCAGCTTTGAACAAAAATCACAAGAAATATTTCTCATTATTTCTGTTTGTTGAAAAAGTACCTTGCTTTTAGGCCTGTTTCAGCTCTCAAGATAAACGAAAAATTCATATAAAATGACGCACAAGAAATAGAAAAGAAATTTTCTTCTATCAAAATTTCTTAAATCAATTTGCACCCATGGTGATCATAACAAGGCTTCGTAGGTCATTCTTTCTGTGCCTGAGCAGAAATTTTTCTAATTCCCAATCAGGCCTTTTCAGGAAATACTTGGTTGCTTTGCATAGCACCAACAACTCTCATGAGTCTTATGCATGAAGTCCCTGATACACCTGTAATTTCCTGCTAAGCTTGACCTCAAAATTGAACCGTTTTTCCCCAACTCAGCTGTCACTTCGTTACTTTGAACACAGTGCCTCGGAACATGCATAGTGCAGCTTGGCTTACATGCTTTGACTATTTTTGAAGAGCTGCGAGTGGTTTCCAAGGCCAGCAGTAGAACTGCTTTGCTGTTACTGCACACGCTGGTTGGATGTCCACACATTGTTCTCTTGTGCGAAAGAGAATGACGCGCGTTCCAAAAGATACACCAGGTATCAGTTTGTCATTAAAGGCCAAAAATTAAAATAGTTATAGAGCTCTTACAACCTTCTAAAGAATTCCGTTTCCGACTTGCTCGTCGCTCATTACGTTACCATGAATGCTGTTGTGCTCCAGCATGCTAACGGAACCAGATGCCTTACTAGCCGCCTGGCTATTCGTGAATAGCAATGTTTGTTCCGGTTCGTCCTGAGGCTGAAATTACCATGTTACACGTCTCGTTGAAAGAAAATACTTCGTAATGAAAATCACTTTCCGAATCTGATGAAAACATAACGCGGAAGATTTTCCTGAGAAGAATTGTAAGACAGATTTAGTTAAAGTTTTCGCGAGTACATAGATCGTTGGATTATTACAGGACACGACCATGCTAGTAGTACGTCAGTGGTGATAGTTTACTTAGTCGTCTCCGTAGAAGTCCTTACGAACATTAGAAACAATTCTGGGTTGATACCTGGGTAGCGCCAGATCCAATTTCTGGGAAAATTTATTTCATTACAGGCATCCCAAGTGTTCATGGACGGGAATAATAAACTTCATTAAAATGGAAAACGACTGTCAAGCTCAAGAAAGGGGAAATTTTTGCTTAGCAAATCTCACACTCACAAGGATCTTCAGTTTCGTCCAAGGGAAAACTCTGGCTAAATATGTCAACCCTTTTTTGAAATTTGGATTTATGATGTTGCTCAAGTAAATGAACAATTCATACTTGTAAAAGCATTGAGTTTTCGTTCTACATATATATTTTTATTACTTGGTTTACACTCCTCGTCATTTGAATAGCACTTCCTTTTGATCTTTAGTATTTACAGCTTTCCTTTCTTTTATTTGATATTCATTAATTTTTTTATAAAACTACAGCTAATAATACTATGACGAAAACCATATAAATATTAAAATGTTATGCAAATTAAAAAAAGTCAACAAAGCGGTGCGCTATTCTCATGGGCCATAGTGAATAGGTTAATAATATTTTTGGGAAAATTTCGGGTACGCAGTTGTGTAGCTCATGCAATTTTAGTATAATAAAGTGCTACTTTCAAGTGGCTACAAAATACCGTCGATTTTTGAATTTTTTTTTTTTGATTTTATTCCACACAAAGTATGTAAAAAAAATGTCAAAAATCAACGGTATTTTGTAACCACTTAAAACTTGTACTTTATTGTACTTATATTCCATGGTCAACAAAACTGCATACCAGCAGTTTTTCTAAAAATATTATTAACTTATGCACTGCAGGTCATTAGGATAGAACACCCCTTTGTTGAATTTTTTATTTAATTTTTTTTTTTTTAATTTGTATACAATTTTAGTAACGGTTTTAAATGGTTTTTGTTATATAATATGCTATAGTTTTGTAAAAAATGTTTGAATATTAAAAAAGCAAAAGGAAAATTGTAAATACTAAAAATCAAAAGGTTGCGCTATTCATATGACGAGGAGTATATTTTATCATATTGTCATACAGTCATACGACTATTTTTAGTTTCTAGCTCTGAAGCATTTTAAAATACTTTTATCCCTTATAGATTTTATACCGTTTCTACATTGTAACCCATTTTTTTAAAGCATTTTGTTTTAAAAAAAATTGAATTTAAATTTTGTACTAATCCTTTTTGTTTACCTCTTTATTTTTCACGCAGCCTTGTCCATGTGCACCCTTTCTACCCTCCTCCACAGTTTGGTCATTCGAGCCAAAGCGATTGTATTGAAATAGACGTCCCATATTCCGCATGATTGCAATTTTCGAGTTACAAAAAAAAACTTCTTTTCACATAAATTTTCGTACTTTCAATAGGTACTTTTTGCAACAAAATGAAATTCGAAATTCTTTCGCTCTCACTTCACTTTTTTACACGCACATACATATCTATGTATCTATATCTACACTATGTTAATTTATTTCCAAGTGATTTCAAATGCAATAATTTCCCAACACTGCCGCCTTCACTATTCACTACTTTCCTTATTTTTGAAGCACTTTTTCTATGCGTACGTTGGTGCATTCAAAATTTCATACAAGTCGCCTTTTGTTTACGTTATGCATCAAAATCTTAATTTAGTTACTTAAACGTCGAATATTTTGAAATCACCCCGAAACGCGCGTCACTGAAATTTCCAACGAGCGATCACCGCAACGTGCACACCAGAAATGATTCAAAGAGACGGGGCGCACTTTGTTGTAAGTTGTTGATGTTGATGTTGATGCCGCTGTCAATGTAGCAACGATGGTGGTGGTGGTATAGTATTGTTGATGTTGTTGTTGTAGTGAGTGGCATGATGATGATGATGATGATGATGTTCACTTCAATGCTGCCACTGCCACTTTACTCTGGCTGGAAACTACTCATAATGAAGTTTTTCCTGCTCAAAGAACAGCAAAACAAGAAAAAAAAAACGCTCCAGCGGCCGGGGTCAGCAATGGCAGTGCTGTAGCGTTCATTGGTGCCGCATTCAAATTGAGAGAGATTTATTCATTCAGAGTCAACATGCAGAGGAAAGTCAGGCATACAATCGGGCGCCCAAGCAAAGAGGGTAACAGTTTTCAAAGCATGCATGTACTATTTATGTTTGTATGTGTTTGCTGCTGTTGCACATTTACGATTACTACGAACTGTCAGTTGGTTTGCGAACTGAGTCAATAAACAGAAACAGTCAAAATAAAAGAAATTGAAATACTCGTAGAATTGAGAAAAAGTGAAAAAAAAACTAGCAGCAACGGAAAAACTATGAGACGAAATGAAAAATGTACTCGAAAATCGGTCGAATGTAGTGAAATATGCAGCACAGGTCGCCGTAAGCGCACTATTTGTTTACGTATGCCGGCCTCTACATGCATATGTATGTACATACAGTGACTCAATCAAGTATTCGCATGTTGATGTTTTTTTTTGAATATTCAAAATATTTTTTAAGCTAAATTTTTATTTTTCTATAAACATATCGGGCCCTATCCGCAAAAAAAAAAAACAAAAAGCGAAATTTAAACTTTTTTTTTATGCATGAAAAATAAAGTTTTTTTTTTTACGTTTTTTGGTGGTTTGGTGGTTTGGTTTCGATATTCTCCATGCATTACCGTATAAACCAGAGTTTCGAACTTTATACAAAAGTTAGAAATATTCAAAAATTTACTTACAAATTTCGAACTTTTTAATTTATTTTTTTTAGCTTTTTTTTGGTTTATTAACATATAAATTATAGTACAGACTTTTAGTACTTTTTTTCTGCCGGTCTTTTGCGATTTTTTTCATACCACAAGTGCAATTTATAAAATCTGTCATTGATTTTTTTGCGAACGATATTGCGAATTTTGTTCCATAAGAAATTTATATTTCAATTTAAAAAAATGCAAAAAGCCACACATTACTGAACTACAATTTTATGGGTTACAAAACATGCCCGAAAACTTTCTAAAAACTCAAATTAAATAATTGAAATTTTGATGAAATTTTTTTTTAATTTTTCTAAATTTTGTATACCTAAAATTGCGAAAATTAAAAAAAAATTTGAACAAGAGTTCAAAGTTTGAGTCATTGTTTGCATAAATACATATGTATGTATGTACCTGTTTAATGTGTATTGCGCCGGAAAAGCACTCAAATGCATTCAGCGGCACGAACAAAAAAAAAGAAACGAAAAAGTTAAAAATAAACCTATAACCGAGGAAAAGTTGCTCGCATGTTGACCGCATTGGTACCCAGTAGCACTTGAAACAGAGCGGAAGCGGTCAGTCGCAATAACAGAGCACCCATACAGCGGCACATAGCCTATCGACTGCCCAGTACAAACACACACACACACACACTTCAACCAGTTGACCGCAGAGTTCGGCGAAAAAATTGTGCCCAGTGCCCATATTTGCCTGTCCATCGGCCGGCCACTAGTCAGCTAGTTGACTCTGCTGTCATCCGCTCACCTTCCCCTTCGATATTTGCAGTTTATTGTCTGTGTCTATCCGTCTGACTGTCTGCCCCACTTGACATGTTTGATTCCCATTTTTAATTTTTCAGTTTACTATTCTTAACACTTTTTCAGTGGATTTTTGTACTTTCCAATACGTGCTAAGTACACAATACGCTGGTTTCCCTTCGCCCGTGGCACTCCATCACTCGCTCTTGCACTCACTCTTCGTCCCGCTGAGTTTTGGTGCTCTCGCAACGGCGTATACAGTGCAGGGGAGTGGATTGGAGTGAAGTAGAGTGGAGTGTGTTTAAGTTGAGAAGATTCGTAACACTGCAAAATGTATCGTTTTGTGTGGCAACATTTTCAATGTTCAGTAGCCCGTACAAATGAGTGAATAAGCTGAGTTTGTTTTTCCTCTTTTTTTTTGTAGTTCATTTTCCCTTAATCAGCTTCATTATCACGCTGCTCATTATCCCCTATTGTAATTACATTGTAGCACACTCTAAAAGTGTGAGCACACTCTTCTCTTACCTATCCAGCTGTTGTATATTTTACTACATACTACTATTTACTTAGTTACATACCTTCTACTCAACTCTATGGTTCCTCTGCTCTTTTTGTGTCTTTAAAATCCCTTCAGCTCACAGCGCGTTTTGTAGCCGTGTTGCATTCATTAATTTGTTTAATTATGAAATTCACTTGACTTGTGCTACTTACTGCTGACTACATATACATACATAACTGCCATAAGTCGCATAATCAAGTTGTTGCAATTTAGTGTATTTCTACAGGCTTACTTATTTATTTTAATTAAATAGTTCAACTTTTGTTTGGTTTTTTTTTAGGAATCCACACATTCATATATTGGTACAAACGTCATAGTGAAGTGTCCTGATTTTCGATTTTGCGGCTCATTAGTCATGTGCAGGCAGTGGCCTTTTGGGGTCGCTCGCGAATAAGCGTGAAAGGAAGTTAGTTCATTTGGCTTACCTACACATGTGTGTGTAATATTTGGCCTTAATTGTGGCCTATATGATAAATATAAATATTAAGTGTGGGTATATAGTCATGTGAAAAATAAAAGCGATGCGATATTTTACCAGTTTTGGCTATTTTTCTTTTGTTTGTGTATCTAGAGTTTATTAATATTTTTTTTTTTAAGTACAGCTCATTATCCAAAAAAACTATATAATACCAATTTTATAACTTTGTAGAAAAATTTAACAAAATTTTTATTTAGACTTTTTGGAATTTAGGTATGCATTTTTATGACCCATTAATTTCTAACTTCATAAAGTGCAAATGCCAAGTGGCTTAGAGTTCGCGTTGATTTTTGTTAATTTTTTTTTTTGCTTACGGTGTCACGGATTTTCTTCCATACAAAGTATGTTCGAAATTTTTTTTTTGTATGGAAGAAAACAAAAACACTATCCGCAAAAAAAATTATCAAAAATAAATGCGAATTGTTAGCTTCTTCAAACTTGCACTATATTAGGCTAGAATATAACGGGTTGTAAAACTGCATACCTAGAATTTTTCCAAAAATTCTTAATAAAAAGTTTGTTGCTGTTGAAAAATTTTATGGAATTTTTCTAATTGGACTTACATGCTTTTTGATGGATAATGAGCTGCATTTTTATAAATAAATAAAAAACAATAAGAAACGAAAGAAAAACAGCAAAAACTGGGACTGGTTGTGTCCCTATTATTTTTCATAGACTGTATGTATTATACACTTGTTGTCAGCTGATTAAGTTAAGTGACTCTTAGACCAGTTTTCGGCTATTATTCTTCTGTTTATTTGATGTTTATAATTTTTTTTATAAAAGTCTTCTTACAAAAATTATCAAATTTTAACAAACTTCAACAATTACTTTGTCAATGTTATTGTAGCTTATTAACCTTTTTATTTTTTAATATATTTATTGAGCTTTGTACCACGATTGTTTGTTAGGAAAAATTGAAAAAGCAACACAGTCTAAGCGGTAGAAGTTATAGCACTATTTCGGAGATCACCACATCTCCTCATCAGACTTCTTTTTTTCTAGACTTCAGCAGAGATCGAACCTGCGTAATCGATGTTCAAAGTCAGAAGCGTTATCGCGTATCGAAGTACAAAAAATACTCGGTACTTTGAAAAGGTACTCGAGTATATACTTCTAAGTACTGGTATCGGGACATCACTAACGATGACGTTACGATGAAGTCTCTACAATGAGTATATATCGTCCGATTCAGCTGGAACAAAAATGATTCAAGCAAGTAAGAGTTTCTCTGCAGTATTGCCTCGAACCGATATATATACATACACCTTTCATTTGAATCAGTATTAAAAGCTCGATTGGCTCCTACATTCGGGCTTTGATAGGCTAGTCTCCCCTGAACCGTTTTTTCCATATTTTTGGCGCTTTTATTCAAAACCTAAATGTTTCGGTACCGAGTATCGAGAGTATTAGATACTTTCTAAATCGGTACCGAATATCGATCAATACTTAAAAGTATTGACTCAGCACATCACTAGCAATAATTCCATAGCTGTACCGTTTAACGCTAGCGTTTTAACTAGCTCACTAGAACAAAATAGGTATTCATGTTTCCATGTGAGTATATTGTTAGCCTAATTCATAAAGGCACTAACCAAGACTTTTTTCGAAACTGCGTTTTTCACAGATTTTGGTAGGATGTATTAAAATGAACCTTCAATAAAAAAGTACCAAGTGTTAGTACCAAAGACAACGGAGTTACATGCCGCTTTTTAAAAAGCCCCATCTGTTTTTGATATTTTATTTATAACTTTTTGCGTCCCCTATGAAATAAAATTTTTTTATTAGGGTCTTTGTGAATGAAGGTAACGATATGTAAATTCAAAGCTTTAAAGCAGTTTTTCTTTTGTTTTAGGTTTTTTAAAGTTATGACACTATTGACGTAAATGAGCGATATGTATGCATGTATAGTAGACTGTTGCTGAGAAAATTTGAGGTGAGAGTCAGTGTGACCAGATGATCGCAAAAAGCGAAGCTAAATTCCTTTTTCAAAAATGTTAGAAAGAGTTATACGCTAGGAAAATCGAAATCAAAAAGAAGTCAGTATATTCTTTCTTTAAAATCATACATACTTCAATAAAAAGCTAAAATTCTTAGCATTATTTTTGAAAAAGCTAAGGAAGTATTTTCTCAAGAAAATGGTCTTTGCACTGTTATTGTAATATTACAACGGTAAATAGTAGT